TGCATATATCTCACAATTAAAACCTTCTAATCAAATGCTATGGCCCAACATTCCGCGGAAGCTCTCTATCACAACAGCACGCTTACTTGGCGATAAGGGGCGATGCGACCAAAATTCTAGAATACAGCTCACAAAAAAGGATCTTGCGGTGGCCATCGCATGAGTGCTGTACATGCCTAGATGTGCTGATCACAACTCGTCGTACGAAACTGCTGAGCGATTCAAAGAATGGAGTTATGAAGCAAAGGAGCACAATGTTAGTGGTCGAGACTCACATTTCAGACGTCATAGGACTGGATCCTTTTCGTGCATTGTTTTTATTCGGTAACACAGCTAAACAGGCTGTTAAAAGCTGTTTTCGCTGCTTCGAAAGTGCGAATGTCAACGCGACAAAGGAACGATCTTACGATTTCCTTGAGTGGAGGCCCCACCTCTTGCGCTCATTTGCTTCATAGCTCTGTTAAAGGATCATTCAGCAGATTTATTGTAGAAGGCAGATCAGCGTTCAGAAGCACTACGCGTTTACATCACTTCTTCAAATGGCCATGGCGACCTAGGAGCCCTTACTCGTAAGCCCACAATAGCAACTTAGGGTGCTCCCCCTGCCAACACCCAACCACCTTTACCGGTCTCCGGACTTTATCGAACAGAAATAACCAAACTGTCTTTCTAATTCTCTGTGCATTTTTCCAACACTATGTGGTTCCGTGGAAAACTCTGTTTAAAGCCACGAGTCGGGAATAGGTCTCAAGAGCCGGCACCTCTAAAGTGATAATCGGCCCGCGGGCGACTGATTGGGATTGGAAGGATTGGCCGATTGTGGTTGTATTCTATCATTTGCCACTAATTACGAATACCATTCACATCAAGAGCAGTTCGCACACTACGGTATTGCAAAAAAGAGTGCAAGATTAGCGAAATTGATAGCAAGAATTACGAAATTATGAATGACGAAATTGCAAGTTTTACGAAATGGTTACAATTTTGCGTACGGAGAACTCTGTATTGAGGGTTTCCAACAACTACTCTGTAGAGAAGCAAGTAGCTTCAGCGAAATTATATTATCAACGTTCATTCATTTCTGCTACTGTTTGGAGGAATACTTCTAGAAATTCTTCCGTGGAGATAGTAACGATCACTTCGTATTTTCAGCCTCTCACGACGCAGCACTCGGTCATCGTTTGCTAGAGCGCATTCTTCGTTGATCACCGTCCGACGAAGAAGAAGCTACTTTAACAATATCATTCGATAAAGTTTCACAAAAGTATTTTTTCAGTTGTGGGAAGCAAAACTGTAGCTAAATAACCTGATTTCAATATATTTCCGGCAGCGGTATGGACAATCCTCTTGTTAAAGGCTTCAGTCGAACCCCGAGATGGGGATAAGCGTAAAATGTTAGGTCATCTCATTCAAACATGTCCAGACATCTAGAGAAATGGTGGGAAAAGTAAAAGAGCTAGAGCATTCTACTTGCTTTTGTTTTAAGCTAGCACACCTAGCTACGGTATACCCTAATTTAAGTTTGTAGTGCCGCAGGAAGGAAACACTTAAAACATAAAGAACTCATAGTGACCCAAATCGAGGCGGAATTTCCAAATGATTGGTGACACACGTAAAATTCGCAACTCGAATTCTCTGTGTGCTGGCTCAACTTACGCGTGATACAGTGTTCTCGAAGTGCTACGTTGAAGATATGGTGTGAGAGCTCAAAGAAGGAGAACGGAAGCGAGTTGTGGTTGAGGACGCGCTCATATTGTCCACCTTGCCCAAGAAGAGCGGGTGGATGAAATGAGGTTTCAAATGGCGCATCACAGATGTTGAACCTTTGCGATGTTTGCCCACGAGACTTGCAGTCTAGCTGCACCTGTTACGCAAATTGTGCCCAAAAATTGGGGATGGTCCACAGAACATGTTTTTGGATATCCATTTACTCCCAGATGCAGAGTCCAGAATCGAATTGGTGTCTGTAGCAATGATTTTCTCTGCCAATAACGTC